AAAAAAAAAAAAAAAACTGATTCTGAAATCCTTCATTTAGTTGAATCTTAGGAAATTCACACTCAGTCCACCAACATATATTAATTATTTTGCCCCAGAACTTTACCCCAGAATGTCATCACCCTCATCACAGTCACCCAAGACAGTATGATGGAAATCATCCTATACTCTTCCTCTAGTCTGATGTCTTATAAGTCATCAAGTAATGTAAATTCTGCATCTTTATTGTGTCTTGTTTTCAGTTCCCTCCATTTTTACCACCGTTGCCCTTGTTCAAACTTTGATCACCTCTCATCTGGATTACTGCATAAAATCTCCCAACTCATGTTCCTGGTTTTCCTCTTGTCTAAAGCATCACCAGTACCACTTCCAGAGTAGTCTTTATAAACAGCAAACTTGGTCATGTCAGACCCCAGCTTTGTACCTTTTAGTGGCTTTCCATGCCTTCTGGATAAAGCTAAAATTGGGACATTTTATTTTTGGGCCCTCTCTACCTTGTCTTACACTACTCCCCCATGTGCATTCACACTAGCCATGCCACTTCTGGTCTTCATGTCATCAAACATGCTATTCTTATATCCTAAAATGCTTTCCCTCACCCTCTTCTTCATCCAACAAACTCCTAGTCACCCTTCAAATCTCAGAACAGTTGAAAGTAGATAGAGGTGGTAGTCAAACAACATTGTGAATATACTAAATGCCCCCTGAATTGTATAGTTTAAAATGGTGAATTGTATGTTTTGTGAATTTCCCAATTTTTTTTTTTTGAAAGATTAGATTAGGCAGTCTCCTCCAAGAGCTTCCCCTAATTCCTCAGTGTGACTTACATACCCTTCCTATTTATTTAATTGCTCTCCTGTGTGCACCTCTTTCAGTGACACTTATCACAGGGCATTGTAATCATTGATTTACTTGTTATTCAAAGCATATAATAGGCCTTTAGTAAAGGTCTATTGAATTAATGAACAAATGAAATGAAAGGATATTGAAATCTGCTTCTCTGCCTGTTTTTCTTCTTTCCCCGAACAGCATCACCACCCACTAACTCAGACCGGAAACCTCAGTCTTTCTGGACTCCTCCCTTTCATTCTTCTAATCCAATCCATTCTGTTACCAAGTTCCATTTACTCTTAGAAATGTCTTCAAATCTGTCCCTTACTATCCTCCCCAGTCCCACTGCTGTCATCATTTCTTGCCTAGATTATGGCAACATCTGCCTCTCTGGTCTCCCTGCCTCTGGTTCTGCTTGTTTCCAATCCATTATCTATACCACAGAGAATGACCTCTTAAAATACAAATCAGATCATGTCATTTGCCGGTTTAAAAACCTTTAATGACTCATCATAGCTTTCCTACCTGGGTGCTGCCTACCTCTCTAGCTTCATCACCAATTTCTGCTGCATATGCTCTCATTTTTAAAAAGTTTTTTAAATGTTTATTTTTGAGAGAGAGAGACAGCACGAACGGGGGAGGGGCAGAGAGAGAGGGGAGACATAGAATCTGAAGCAGGCGCCAGGCTCTGAATTGTCAGCGCAGAGCCCCACATGGGGCTCAAACCCACAAACTGTGAGATCATGACCTGAGCGGAAGTTGGACGCTCAACCGACTGAGCCGTCCAGGCACCCCTATTCTCATTTCTGCCATATCAAACTATTTGTAATTCCTCAAAGGTTCCATTGTCTTCAGAAGCCTCTATGCTTTGGCTCTTTGTATTCTCTCCTCTTAGAATACACCTCCCTCCTTTGTCTAGCTAATGTCTATCTGCTCTTCACTCTCAGCTTTGGGTCACTTCCTCTGGGAGCCTTCACTGACACCCAACCTCCTATTCTGATTTGGGTGCCTCTTCCTTGGACCAGACCTTCCTTATATTAGACCACCTTGTATATTTCTCTTATTTTCAGTTCTCAAGATTTGAATGTATTATCACTCACATGCCTCTTTTAATTATGATTTACTTATCTGTCTTTTCTGCTAGGCCATGATGATCTCCTTGAGGACAAGAACTCTGTTTCATTTTGGTATTCAGTACTGGCACTTAGATTATTAATGTTTTTCAGTGAATGAGTAAATTAAATCTACTACCTTTTATTTGTCCTAAACTTGCCTCTTACCCTGTCCTTTCAAAATAAATCTTATCCTTTGGTATGTAGTGTTCAGTTATACTTTAGAGGTCTCTTTTTATGAAACATGGTCACACATGGTCTCCCTTACAAGGCATTTGTAAAAATACAATTTGGGCCTATAGTATCCCCCAAAGCTCCTGAAGAATCAGCATCCTCTCCTGGTGGTTTATGTGCATCTTGGGAGATTTGAGTCTCAGTCTCTGCTGAGGATCCAAGACAGCACATGCCACGTTCCAAACTGAAGGGTGAGATGATCATGCAAGACTTGGAAAGGGGGGTATGAAAAATAAGTGTGCAACTTTTAATCACCTCACCCACCTTGAGAAAAAGGCCAGAAATTTAGACATTGATAAGGGATCTTTAGAGAGAATTACTAATGGACTTTGAGTCCCATCCCAAGTTCAGTTCAAGTTGAGAGGGTTTTAAGGAAATTCTTTGGAGAAATTGATATGATTAATGTGTTTGGGGTTACAGAGAACTCATACCTAACTCATACCTGGAAAATCTAAAAAGCAGGAGAACAATTAGCTACCTTTTTTATGGAAGAGCAAAAAGAGGTGGCTGGTGAGATTGGCCCTATGCCCCCATTATTTTTCAGGACAAAGGGATGCATGGGTACTCCCCATAGACCACATATGGGCCATGTAACAGACCTAATTAGGGTTTCTTTATCCTGTCAGAGAGACAGGATCTGAAAAGTTGAGATCTCAGCAGAAGGAAGCAATAGATCTGTTGTCAAATGGTTAGATATTTCTAATTAGATAAAAGGTTGCCTCAGGGTTTGACTGCCTGTGAAGGGACATGAGGTAAATTTTCTATATCTTGATTTTGGAAGTATTTACCTGAGTGTATATATTTGTCAGAACTCATCAAACTGTACACTTAAAATCTGCAAATTTATTGTATGTAAAGTATACTTAAGTAAAGTTTTTTTTTTTAATTCTTAGAGATTTCTAAAGGAGTTGTAAGTGACCATCTAGAGCTGAATTCACCCATATTAAAGTAACTAGGTATAGGAGAAATACCTCAATCAACAGAGAGGGTGTCACCAAAAAACCTACAAAAGGGCTCCTTGCGAGTCAGCTTTAGATACTTGTCAAGCACTAAAACTAGTTCGTGGTAGTATTAGCCAAGTAAGAACCTTCCTCATCTCTTCTCTTTCCACCCTGCTCAAACTCTGAGAGTGCTAGCAAGCTAAGCAAGGGAGAAAAGATAGACATCTACTAATCCTCACCCCCTTTTCCCACTAAACATGGGCATTTATAGTAGGGCCAAGCTGAGAGATAGGAAAAGCCATAATTTTAAAGTTTGAAGTTTAAAGAATTATTTTATTAGTCTGGCTATTTTAATTATTAAAGTGAAGCAGTGACAAGTACTGGTTGCTACCTGAAAATGACCAGAAAATTCATGAAGTGTACAGTCTTATGGAGTGGGTTTAAAGAGTGGAAGACAGGGGCGCCTGGGTGGCGCAGTCGGTTAAAGCGTCCGACTTCAGCCAGGTTACGATCTCGCGGTCCGTGAGTTCGAGCCCCGCGTCAGGCTGTGGGCTGATGGCTCAGAGCCTGGAGCCTGTTTCCGATTCTGTGTCTCCCTCTCTCTCTGCCCCTCCCCCGTTCATGCTCTGTCTCTCTGTCCCAAAAATAAATAAACGTTGAAAAAAAAAGAGTGGAAGACAAAATAAAATGGTTTTATAGTAATCCCTATCCCACAAATCCCATCCTTTCAAGGTTCCAATTTCTCCCTCTCTCTCTCTCTCTCTCTCTCTCTCTCTCTCTCTCTCTCTCCATCACATTCATCCACATGTACAAGTATTTACTGAGCATCTACTATGATCTGGGCACTGTTCTCAACGTAGAGATACAGTGAAAACCAAAAATCAAAAAGATTTCTACTATCATGGATCTTACATTCTATTAAGGGAAACAATAACAAAGTAAACAAGATCATTCAGATAATAAGTGCTATGAAGATACTTTAATAGTGAGGGACTGTGAGAAGGAAGGGGGAGCTACTTTGTATTTAGTAGTCATAAAAGGCCTTTCTGAAGAAGTGGCATGTGAAATGAGACATAAATGACTAGAAAGATCTAGCCTTGCAAAAATATAGTGGAAAGACATTGTAAGCAGAGTAAATAGCTAGTTAAAAGTCCCTAAGATAGGAGCTATCTTTGTGTGTAGGAAAAAGACGCCAATGTAGACAAAACATGATGCACAAAGAGAAGGGTGTTTTGATAGATATGATGGGAAACAGTGGAGAGCTTTAAAGCCAGTTTGGAAGATTGTTCAGGCCACTCTCTGGACAATAGGGATGCAAAAGTGACCTCAGGGAGACTATTTAGCAGGCAATTACAGTTGTCTAGGCATGGCATGGTGGTGGCTTGGATGAGGATAGAAGCAGTGGAGAAATAAGTAGATGATTAAAGGATATATTTTGAAAGTAGACTCAAAGGACGACATGGGTTGGCTACCAAAGATGCAAGCACTGGTTTGTCAAATGATCCTATGGATTTACCCAATGGCTTCTTCTCTGAAAAGCAGGATACTAAATTCATGGATTACTGACTCTCCCCACACAGCCCTGATGAAGGGGTGAATTTGGGTGGTCATGTTTGGTGCCAGTTGACTCCACTACCCCTAGCCACAACTGGCCAAGAGTGGATATATAACTCACTATAGCTTCTCTCTCTCTAGAAATTAGAATTAGAACTCTGGGAAACTAAGTCAGTGATAAGGACAGTAGCTAGTGAGTGGGAAACTAAGTCAGTGATAAGAACAGTTTCGGGAACAGTGGGGCCTCCATTTTAAAGTGGCCATGATTTGCTTTATGAAGGTAAGTGAGCCAAGATATTTAGCCTGTAGCAAAAGCATAAGCAGATGTCCAAAGAGAAACAAAGATATTATTTCATTGCAGGAAAGAACCCCATGAGGGGCTTTCTGAAGTTGGGTTCCATAAGGACATCTTTTTCCCTGTTTTTGCCAATAGCAAAAACCCAAAGGCAATTCCAGTTTATATAGGCCAAGTTTAGACTTTTTCCTCATCTACAGCCTTTTAGGAACAGGGCAAGGTCACAGAACCATCTGGCTCACCCTGCACCTTTTCTTTAAGAACTTGCAGGAAAAATAATTTATTTACCACTGCCAGGAGAAAAGAAACAAGGGAGCAATTCTTTAAAAACATTTTTATGTTTGTTCATTGGTTTGTTTAGAGAGCACAAGAAGGGAAGGGACAGAGAGAAGGAGAGGCAGGCTCCCAAGTAGGCTCCACACCATTAGTTGCAGAGCACAACACAGGGCTCGAACTCATGAACCACAAGATCATGACCTGAGCCAAGATCTAGAGTTGGAAGCCTAACCGACTGTGCCACCCAGGTACCCCAAGGGCACAATTCTTAGCTCCAACATTTCCCTGCAATTCTAGCTCCAAGATACATATCCAAGATACGTTCAGAGGTTTAGAGAAGACTCAGCATTGGAGGACCCTGGGAGTCATCATAGTCATTTGATCAACTTTACGCCCTGCCTCCAACAAGACATTTTATTTATTTATTTATTTATTTATTTATTTATTTATTTATTTATTTTTACTTATTTTTATTTTAGTGGGCACCAGCGGGGGGAGAGGGGCAAAGGGAGGGAGAAAGAGGAGAGACAGAGAGAGAGAGAGAATCTTAAAAGCAGGCTCCATGCTCAGTTCAGAGCTTGATGCCTGGCTCCATCCCAGGACTCTGGGATCATGACCTGAGCAGAAATTAAGAGTCGGAAGCTCAACTGACTGAGCCACCCAGGCTCCCCCAACAACACATTTAATTAAGCATTAAGTCCTATTGATTCTATATTCTAAATCTCTCTTAAATCTATCTCCTTTTATCTAACTCCTCAGCCACTGCCCTAATTCAGATCCTCTCACTTCTCATTATAATTACTACAGAGTCTCAATTTACTTTCCTGTAACTCAATATCCATGCTCTTACTAGAGTGAAATTTGAAAGTGCAAATCTGTTTGAATACTGGTAATAATGCAAAATGTTTCTATCCATGACAATGCAAACGATTCTTGTTCCTGATCATGCAAAATAATTTTGTCTGGTAGAAAATATACACTTATAAAAGTCAAATCCTTATCTGAACCGGTTTTAGTTTCTTGAATTAGCTCCCTCACTAATTAGTGAGTTTAATATGTGTTTATTTTATATTTGTATAAGACTCATGATTTTACCTTTTCAAAAATTAGCTCATAACACAAATAACAGGAAGTAATCTTTGCTTATTGAAGACAAAAATGAGACTATATGAAATGATAGAAAGATGTGCCATGAACCCAGGGTAGAAGTCAAGCTGAGCCTCCAAAGTGGAACACACTGCTGGAAAGCCCCCCAGGAACCTCTTTGTGTCTACACTTGGCTCCTTTCTTTGAAACAGATTGATCCTTCTCAGCAAACTGCTTTTCTTTGCTACTCAGGCCATTTGGCAAGTAAAAGATGGTCACAGATCTCAGTTTCCATTGTAAGTCCAACTATGAATAAGGGTATAGTTCTCCCCCAATTCCAAATTCTCAGGGAAGGGATTCTGTTTGGCCTAGTTTGAGTTAAGTCTTTACCCTGGACCACCTAACTGTACAAGCATACAACTTTTCATCAGTCTCCCTACCTGCAGTCCTAGCCTTCTCCACATCACCGCCCCCCCCCCCAGAATTTTATTTCTGAAATTCAAATTTGATTTGTCATTCCTCCCACTGCATAAAGCCCTTCAGTGTCTCTCCACTGTTTACAGAATGTGTCCCAACTCTTTAGTATATCATAGGAAGCTCTTCAAAAGCCCCTGACTATATCTGCTGTGCTCTCTCCATTATACCCCACACCTTAAGCATATCAGTTGTTTTGCCCCTGTGTTCTTTTGGACATGCTGATTCCCCCACACCCTTTACCATTCATTCTTCAAAACTCCGTTCACACCACTTCTGTGAAGCCTGAGGATGCATTACACAGCATGACATTTATCTGCTTCCTTGACTGTGAGCCAACAACCCTGTGAATGCATATGGTCTCAGTCTCTAACTTTCACGAAGCATGGAACCCAGGGAATTTATATTATTTGCTGAGTGACCACCTGCCCACCTCCCACCCCATCCCCCACTGACCTTTGTCAGGAAGAAAGAGACAACAGGATCCTCAATGTTCCACATACATCCTGCCTTCCATGAGGAACAGGAAGAGCATGAGTTCTCTTAAAGAAAAAAGTTATTCATGACACTTGTTAAAGATGGTAAGGCAGACCTTAAAGGGCATCACAACAGGTATGGGGACCATTGAAATGGGATTTTGCAAATGGGGGAGAGATTGAGCTCAACTCAGACACCAACAAGAAGAGGGGGGATTTTCTAGCCAAATAGCAGTATAGGGGTCAGTGGATAGAAAATTACCGTCTTAGTCTGTGCAGGCAGCTATAGTGAAGTACCACAGACTCTGTAGCTTATAAACAACAAATTTACTTCTCACAGTTCTGGAGGCTAGAAATCAGAGATCAGAGTGGCAGCTTGGTTGGGTGAGGGGCTCCCTTCTGGGCAGCAGACTTCCCCTTGTATCCTCACCTAGAGGATTGGGCTAGAGAGCTCTGAGAGACCTCTTCCATAAGAGCACTCATTCAATTCATGTGGGTGCCACCTTCATGATGCAACCACTTCTCAAAGGCCCCAGCCTACTAGAGCCATCACCTTTGGGGATATTTCCATGTGTGAATTTGAGAGACACAAACATTCAGACTATAGATAGCAATTGCTAAGAGGATACATCAGGGGTAAGGGGAATTCTTGCTAAAGGGTCTCAACAGAATTCTTGCTTGAAGGCAGACCAGGGTGGTAAGATACAAAGGGTGGTCAGATACCAAAGGTGGGGGATTCTAACTAAACTGACTTAGGAAGATTCTTGTTCAAACTGGATTCTATGGGGAAGCCCAAGGTCAGGCCTAGTCCAGCAGAGAACTCAGAGGATCCTAAAGTTTGGGTCAAAGGAGAGAGTCTTTGTCAGTTCCAGGTTTTACCAAGATTCTTAACCTGGTGATGCATGGGGTACTTTTAAAAATATCACAGCCTGGGGCCTCCCAACCACCACTACACTCCCATCCCAATGATCCTGATTCAGCCGTCTCCGCCGAGGTCAGGCCTTGGTTTTGTTGCTCTATTTTCATTTTCCGTTTTCCCTAAGAGGGTCTACTGAGGTGTCAGGGTTGAGACTTGCTGCTTTAGGCGAAAGTGGGTGCACAGATACACCTGTCTTCGAAGCCATTAGGCCCACGCCCAGGGTCACCTGGGTTCCCGAAGACTCGAGACGCGCCTCGCCGCGCACCGCCCCGAAGGGGCGGGGCGCGGGCCGCAGAAGGCGGGGCCACAGCGGAAGCCTCGCCGCTCCCCTCGCGGGAAAGCTCTGCGCGTGACTCGCTGCACCCATCACAGCGAGAAGCGGGGGAGGTGGGCCAAACACGGCGGGCCCGAAGGACCGAACCAACGCGCCGTCCGGAGGGGCGGCATGAGGGCAACCCAGATTGGACCATCGGCGCCGCGGCTGCAGGGGGAACCGGACATTACCAACCCGTCTGGAGAGGAGGGGGGCGCCG